AATAACAAAATATCATATAAAATCAACCTTCTCTTAAAACATATAAATATTTATTTAAATATGCTAATAAAAATTACTTATTTAATACGTACAAAATAATTGTCCAAAACAATAATTATTTAAAACGTACAAAATAATATTTTTCTATAATTATTAAAATAATTATGACCAAATACCATATAATAATAATTATTATTATTATAATAATAATGATAACTTTATTGAAAACTGGGGTGTTACAGAATGGAATGGAAGAGCTTAAAAATTTGAGGACAAATGCTTCTCAAGAAGGAGGGGATGATAGAGGACCATCCTTGGTGCTTCATGTGAAACCTTTGTCACTAAGTTGACTTATACTAAGCAAGTTATGTTTCAGCCCTTCAACAAGAAATACATTCTCAATCAATGTTGAGGAGGAAAAGTTACCAATGTTTCCATGACCAAGAATCCTCCTTTGTTGTTGTCACCATAAGTAAAAAATTCTTCATTCTTTAACTTCAGACTTGAGAATTTTGAAGGATCTCCAGTCATATGCCTTGAGCAGCCACTATCAAGATACCATAATAAGTTTTTAGCTCTCAAGCATTCCTACAACAAAATCAGAAAATTGATTTAGGTATCCATGTGAAGGGTCCTTGGTGGTTAGTTCTCAGCCTTTGACTTTTTTTAATCCAAATCATTTCTTCATTTGGAACACCATATTTCCTAGAGTAGCAATTCCTTATTGTATGACCTTTCTTGCAACAATAATAGCAAGTAGTTTGTTTAATGAAATTGCCTTTGTATTTTCTGAAAAATTGGTTTTTCTTAAAAACACTTTCCTTTGATTTGAAAATTTCACAAATGGAAATGCAAATGTGAATATCATTTTGGGAAAACAAAGAAATACTTTTGATAGAAGTGGACTTGGTTTTAATTAAAGCATGAACATGCCATTAAAAACAAAGGAAAGAATTACTTATTTAATACGTACAAAATAATTGTCCAAAACAATAATTATTTAAAACGTACAAAATAATATTTTTCTATAATTATTAAAATAATTATGACCAAATACCATATAATAATAATTATTATTATTATAATAATAATGATAACTTTATTGAAAACTGGGGTGTTACAGAATGGAATGGAAGAGCTTAAAAATTTGAGGACAAATGCTTCTCAAGAAGGAGGGGATGATAGAGGACCATCCTTGGTGCTTCATGTGAAACCTTTGTCACTAAGTTGACTTATACTAAGCAAGTTATGTTTCAGCCCTTCAACAAGAAATACATTCTCAATCAATGTTGAGGAGGAAAAGTTACCAATGTTTCCATGACCAAGAATCCTCCTTTGTTGTTGTCACCATTTATTCCATAGAGTGCTTCCTGGGATAATCGATTATTACAGCAAGGCATCCTTTCATCTGCTGCTGGAATAATCGATTACATTTAATGATAATCGATTATTTTGAGTTAGTTTTCAAAAACTCAGTTTTATATCTCAAAATAACTTTCCAAGTATTTAAATCATCATCATACTCACTCTTAGTCAAATTAGATTAAGATTAACTCATGCACAAAGCACACACATGCAAAATAAGCTAAACAAATCAATACAACTTATGAACTATCCCTATTACACATCATAATAGCCATATCTTTTTCTTGACTTGTTTTTTGACTTGTTGATGTCCTTGGTCAACTTTGATTCTCAGAATCCTCCTTTTGTTATCATCAAAACTTTCATACTCCAAGTTTGAGTTAATTCACCACTTCATGAATCTCAACACTTCCGCCATTGTTGAGTGTTCAACCTCAAGAGAAGAAAGATTGGACGGTGGAGTTTTGAAGAACATCAATCATTCTTCAACAACTTCCATCAATTTGTTTCTCTAATTAATATTCACATTTCTTTTAAATAATTAAGATATATATTCTATAAATAATTTATAATTAATATTTTTTATTAAATTAAAATAATATATTTTAATTAAAAATATTTTAGTTTAAAAATAATCAATATATGAGATAATATAAATTGGATCTCATTTTAAAAAATAAATAATTGTTCTAAATTGAATTTTATAAGTAAAAAAAAATAGTATCGAGTTTCAAGAAAATATTTTTTTATAAGAAAATTTCAAGAAATGATAGTTTAAGAGAAAAAAAAAATATTTTTGGATGAGGTTAACAAAATTAAATGATGTAAATAATTCTTTTTAATCAGTGTAAATTGATTTTTTTTACTTATATTTAAAATTTGATAAAAATATTTTATTAAGTATTATTATTTTAAATAGTCTAATTTTTAGATTTTTTTTATTGTCACATTTTAGTGTGTATGAGTATTGTTAGACCAAAACAATATTTAGGGTTGACAGGTAAGAATTTGATAGTATTTTGTTAAAATTTCAAACATGCAATTATAAGCTATTGTAAAAGAATATATAACTATAAGCTAATTAACATAAAATTAGGGTAAATGTATGTAACAATATTTTATTAATAGTTTTTTATTGATTTAAGTAAAACCAAACATCCACAAAATTGTATTTTTAGGCTATTCAATATCGGAGGAGATTATAAAATTGGTCTAATAATGGTAATGCTTTTTCTTTAGAAAAGAAAAAGGATAGAACGTGTTACAAAAGGCAGTGTCATTCGTTCTTGTTTGAGTGCAATGTTATGTCACAAACAACACAAGTCTTTGTGCAGTGAGAGACCTGCAATGTCAGTCAACTCCACTCCAAAACACTTTACCTTACCATGCTTCTTCTCACTCTCTTTCCATCAACCTTCCTTCAACTCCAAACATATCCTAGATATTCTCTTGCACACATTTCCCAACATTCTCTTCTTCCTCTATCCTCCATGTTCTTGTTCTCTCCACCCTGAATCCAAATCAAATAAAATACTCACCAAAACACCCCAATTAGATAGTGCATGTATATTATAAAAGTGAAGGATATATAAGCACAGTTCAAAACTGAATAACAGACACTGCTAAGAACATGGGCAGGTATGAGTACACCCCCACTTGTTTTCTTAGTATTATGTTCTTCTTTTGTTTCTGTCCTATGGTGTTGTCCCTGCTGTCACAAAACCAAACGGAAACCATGTCCAATCTCTCCAAAAGTCTTGCTTTTCCTGTTACATGGAGTGACTCAAACCCATGTGCATGGAAGGGAGTGACTTGTGACAATACCGATTCCTCCGTAGTAGGGGTTTCTCTATCTGGGTTTTCACTCTCTTCTTCTGACTTTCTTCCTGTTGTTTGCAAAATTGAAACTTTGGAGCATCTTGATGTCTCTAACAACCGTCTGAGCTCAATCCCAGATGGTTTCATCACTGAGTGTGGGAAGATTAAGGGGTTGAAGCTGTTGAATTTCAGTAAAAACCATTTAGAAGGTGTTTTACCTACTTTTAGTGGTTTTGATGGATTGGAAACCCTTGATATGTCTTTCAATCACTTGACAGGGAGGGTTGGTTTAGAGTTAGATGGGTTGGTTAGCCTCAAAAGTTTGAATCTTAGTTTCAATAACTTCATGGGGTCTCTTCCTACCAAACTGGGAAAGTCCATGGTTTTGGAGTGGCTTGTGCTTTCTAACAATCACTTTAATGGAGAAATCCCTGATGAATTGTTTAGTTATGAAAACTTGACTGGGATTGATCTTAAGGCAAATGAACTTTCCCAGTCTATTCCTACCAATATAGGGAAGCTTTCTAAATTGGAAACTTTGATCCTTTCCTCTAATAAACTCGTTGGTGAAATTCCAACTTCACTTTTGAACCTCACAAAACTTTCAAGATTTGCAGCAAATCTGAACAATTTCACAGGTCCTGTACCTCCTGGGATTACAAAATATCTCACAAATTTGGATCTCAGTTTTAATAAATTGTCTGGGTCCATTCCAGAAGACCTTTTATCTCCATCACAGTTGCTGGTTGTAGATTTGTCCAATAATCAGTTAAGTGGGTCATTACCTACAAAAGTTTCTCCAAGCTTGTTCCGGTTGAGGTTTGGGGGCAATCATCTGGGTGGAAATATTCCTTCAGATGGTTTTGCTAGAGTTGAAAATTTGACATACTTGGAGCTGGATGACAATGAGTTCTACGGATCAATACCAGCTGGTTTGGGTTCTTGCAGGAATTTGGCATTGCTGAATTTAGCTCAGAATCACTTGAGTGGTGTATTGCCTCCACAGCTTGGTAATCTTAGCAATCTTCAAGTCTTGAAGCTTCAATTAAACAACCTAGGTGGTACAATCCCATATCAATTTGGCCAACTTCTTAAGTTGTCAACGCTGAATTTGAGTTCAAATTCTCTGGGTGGATCAATTCCATCTGAGATAACAAGTTTGAGCAGTCTTACTATGTTGCACTTGCAAAGCAACAATCTGAATGGTTCCATACCGACATTCATTAGCAACCTAAAATCTCTTTTAGAGCTTCAACTTGGGCGAAACCAGCTAAGTGGTGAGATTCCAAGCATGCCAGTCAGTCTGCAGGTTTCACTGAATCTTAGTAGCAACCACTTTAGTGGTCCTATTCCTGACCGTTTTCATACTTTGTATAGTCTGGAAGTCTTGGATCTCTCAAATAACAATTTTACTGGTCCAGTCCCCGATTATCTAACTGAATTGTCAGCTTTGACACTGTTGTTACTTTCTAACAATCAGCTGTCTGGTGAAATTCCAAATTTTAGTCAACACGTTCATGTTGAATATGATGGAAATTATCTGAAAAATACTTCTGCCCAGGACAACCCATTACTCAACCGTGCCTCTAAGAAGGGAATATCTATTGCTGTGGCAATACCCATTGCAATTGTAGTTCCTTTAGTTTTAGTTGTCCTTGTCACTCTGTTGGTTTTGTCGAGAAAAAACCATCACCATCCTCAAGTCATCCGTAGTAATTTATTAAATCCTATTGGAATGGATAAATCAAGCATTGTCTTCTCTAAAGCCATGGAAGTTGTTTCTAAATCATCAAATATTACTCTAAAAACAAGGTTTTCCACTTATTATAAGGCCATCATGCCATCTGGATCAATTTATTTTGTCAAGAAACTAAACTGTTCTGACAAAATATTGCCGGTGGTAAGTCATAATCAATTTGGGAAAGAGCTAGAAGTCTTGGCAAATTTGAATAATTCAAATGTCATGACTCCTTTGGCCTATGTTTTATCCACTAATACTGCTTACATACTATACGAATTTATCTCAAATGGACCCCTCTTTGATGTTCTTCATGGAAACATGGAAAACTCTTTAGATTGGGCTAGCAGATATAGTATAGCTGTTGGGGTGGCTCAAGGACTGTCTTTTCTTCACGGATTTGCCTCTAGTCCAATACTACTCCTTGACCTATCAAGTAAAAGTATTATGCTGAAGTCTCTTACGGAGCCTCTAGTTGGGGATATTGAACACTACAATGTGATTGATCCCTCAAAGAGTACAGGGAATTTTTATGCAGTTGTTGGTTCTGTTGGTTATATTCCTCCAGGTCCGAAATTCTTCAACCTTATATTACTTTCTATTTGTTTCTCAAAATTCATAGATTAACTTTATATGACCACCTCCAAATACTTTTAATTGTAGGGACAAAGCAGATTACATAATAAATAGTTTCCAATTCCGCTAAGTGAACAAAATTCTATAAATATTTTAAGCGAAGTTGAATCTATCATTTGCATAATATCAGTCTTACGTAATTTTTTAATCACCGAGTCCGTGCTAAGGGGTCAGTATTAAACATGTCTATGTCAAAAGGAAAAAGGATGGGCCATTATTAAGAAGGCTCAAATGGACTCGACAATTAGTTAGTTATAGAAGTTGTTAGTATATAATTGTATTATGACAATTAGAGAAAAATGGTGTCTTAGGCTAACTTTGTTGATGTGATAGAAAAGTATGAATTTCTCCAGAAATTTCATTTGTACTTCACCCTATCTACACTTGCATTGAACCTAGTATATTCTTCAATAAAGCAAGGTCCACTTTATTTTAATGTTTTGTTATTTTTGCACTATTCCTATAAAAAAAAATTGGTATTAGAGCTTTTTCTCATCCCTCTTGATCGAAAACGAGCGACACAAATGGTGATGCTGACATTGCAATCATTGCTCAAGATTGGTCAAAGGGCCAATGAATAGGCAACCATAAGGGCTATGGAGGATGGTGAAATGTTAGGATCAAATTGCAAGATGAGTTTTGTGTTTTATGGATGTATAGGATTATAGTGTGGGGATTTACAATGCTTAGATTTTATGGCAGGGTTTATGATCAAGGGACGAAAATTGCACCACCACTACCCTTGCCAGCTAGCCTTAGCCTATAAGAGGAATGGAAATTATAGGATCAACTGCAAGATGTCTTGAGCTAATGCTATAACGATAAAAGTGAATCGAAGTTATTGATCAAGTGGGGTGCTATTTAGGACTGGGAGAACTCTTGGGAGATAATGACTTCATCACAGGCAACTTTTCATGCTTTCTCCTTGAGGACAAGGTGCATATATTTTGGGGAGTATTGATAGGGGAGGGGGTGATTAAATAGGTCTATGTCAGAAGGAAAGGGGATAGATAAGTGACCCAACAAATAGTTAAAGCGATTATTAAGTTATTTTGTATCCTTAGGGGAAAAGGTCCTTTTTTGGTGAGATGGTTGATGTGATACAAGTCTCTTGAATTGCTTTAGGAAACTCATTGATACATCACTACATTACCCAGTCCACACTCACATTGAATCTAGATGGAATTTGTGTTCTTCAATAAACCAAGTTAAATTTTTCCATTAATTTTGCAGACCTAGTTTAACTCATTATTTCTGTTTAATTTTAGTTGCAAAGACAAACTTAACTAAATCAGCAAACACTTGAGCATATACTTCAAAATGGAATCGAAATCGTTTTTTTTTCCTGCATTGTTGCAAATACTCCCGATGATTTAGAATTCAACGAGACTACCAAGCTATTTTAGTGTTTGAAAGATCTTAACTTATTTTGTTTGTTGGATGGCAGAGTATGCATACATAATGACAGTTACAATGGCTGGGAATGTCTACAGTTTTGGTGTCATTCTGCTTGAACTGCTAACTGGAAAACCTGCAGTCACTGATGGATTGGAATTGGTCAAGTGGGTTTTAAGTAATCCAACAAACCAAGATTACATTCTTGATTTTAATGTCAGCAGAACATCAGAAGCCATTAGAAACCATATGCTTGCAATTCTCAATATTGCTCTTGTTTGTGTTAGTACATCCCCAGAAGCAAGACCAACAATGAAGAGTGTGCTAGAGATGCTTCTAAATACCAGATGAAGTCAAACTCTTCAGGGTTGAAAAAATCTTCAAAAGAGTTTTTTTTTTTTTCTTCTATATTTTGGGTGATGCTTAAGTCTATAATATATACGAAAGGTAGAATAAATGAAGGGAAAGGGTCAGCATAATTCTTCCATGCTGTGTAACAATGTACATGAATTAGTTTAGCTTAATTATTAATTTAGTCTTTATACTTGTCCACGCATAACTATTTTGATTTTATATATAAAAATTGCAAGTTTTAATCATAGGACAAGCAAATTTAGGGCCTTCTGAGGTAAATTTCCTGATAGCACTTTTAAGAGAACAAAATAGAAAGAAAATAATGAAACAAGCTCTCCAAAGACACTAAGCTCATTAAGCAAGTAGGATTACATACAAATCAAAATAAAAGGTTAATAGACCGTGCAATTAATAGACTAATTAATCCGCGAAAAACTTGTGAAGAAGTTATGCAGATCGTTCAAAGGTTGCAAATCTCACCCAATGACATTGAATTCAGAAGACTAAAGTTTTCCTTCGTCGTTGTGGCTTCCATAAAATTTGTTTTTCGCTTATCGTTAGCATATGTCACCAATATTCCAAATGTAATGGTAATGGATCATTGAGCAAAAATGGTTTCCGGCACTCAAGGATATCAACATAATGGTTACCAACGACCTTAAGACTTGATCCAAATGATTATAGTGATTAAAACATTCTCGTATGACTTGGATAATGAAGATTAGTGGATGATCATGACCTAAAAATAATGTTTTAAAATCTAGATCTAATATCAATTCAGTAAAGATTTTGAATCACTATATAAATTCATATTAAATATATAGTTTTAAAAATTAAAGAATTATTGTAAAGAAATTATTTTAGTTGTACATATTACAATAGAATTTGTAGGTGTAATAGTTTAGGATTTCAGATATAAGATAGCAGATAAATGAGCATGGTATGATTCTCATCAAAACCAAAATCTTCCCACTAGCTAAGAATTCTCTTACGCGTCATTTTTTCAAATGCATCAGCATGTCATAATTGTTACATGTGTATTTCTAAATAACATTAGGCAACTCCAAGCGTGTGGTTCAGCGGTAGGGATTGATCCACGCTTACCTAAGGTTAGGGATTCGAATCCTGTCTTGTGTATGTAGCCGCGTTAAATCTTGGGACCAGCTATCCCACCCTTTGAGGTGCCTCCAACCTAGCGAGGAGATTAATAACATTAGGCAATTATGCTTCTAAATCTTTTTTTTATTTAAAATAAGCAATAAAATTAGAAGAAAAAAATATTTTATATGTATTTTGTTCTTTATTAGATGTTTTTAGTGTTATTAAACACATGAAGAACATAAAAAGATGGAAGAGCTAGAAAATATGGAAGATGATGAGCAACTATTTTAGGGAGCTTCGCTTTAGCAAACCAGAGTCAATAATATAGACTCGCTTAAACAAAGTTAAAGGCTCTAGAGACATTTCAAGTAAGGCTACCTTGAATCTAGCCACACTCTTGCTTAAGTGAGTGCAGCCAAAGAGCCGTTGGAGGAAATCTTGAAAGTTGTTTAAGCAAGTCATTTTAGTCGCTTAGTATAGCTCCATAGACCTATATCTAATGGCATGTAAAAGGCCTAAAAATAGAGCGTTTCATAACTTGTGGAAAGGGAAAATTCAGTCAATCTTAAAAAACACAGTAACATCAAAACCTTCACAAGGGAACCCTCACCTTCTTTCATAACTTGGGGATTGACATAACTGACTCTAATCTTTGTATAAACTTTCATATTATTCACGAGGATGTATTTATTTAGTTAAGTGTTCTCTTCATTCATTTTCTTAATATTTGTATTGACTTGATCACCTAATGCATGATACCCATAAAATTAATTGATATTGAGAAACACTTTTGAAATCATGATATGAAAAGGAACACTAAGAATGCTTATTTGAAATAGTTTAAGAATTATTAGCCAATGTCAAAATCTCCAATCTTAATGCAAATTGATTAATGAACTTTACCAAGGATTTGAGATTTTAATTAAGAAATTTATAATTTCTCACCTAAGAGATTCACATTAAAATTTAATTTAGGGTTGTTAACAAGGATTAATGCAAAAATTGAATAATTTGTGGATACATGTGAGGAAGGTCAATAAAATATCGTTGGCGTTTTTTAATCTAATTTACAAGCATAGTAGATGACCTTCTTATTGTTGTTTTGACCAAGTTTCTTGAACCTATCCTTCTTCTTGTGGAAACTCATTAGTCTTCCTTTCTTTTCTAGCATATCCTTGAACTTTTTAGACATGAGAGATATATCATTGTCTGTCGAGTTCTCAAAACTATGATTTGAGTTGTTAGGCTCAAACTCAACCATTAGAGCCTTTCCTTTATCTCTTCTCTTGTTAGTTTCACCACTTCTCAAATCAACGAACTAGTTATCTTTAAGATGGTCTCTGATTTTTAGGTGAACTTCATGAACTCATAGAGCTCCAAGAAGTTCGTCAAGAGTAAAAGCCTTCAAGTCATATGCCTATAAGATTATTGTGGTTTTGGGATCCCATATCTTTGGAAGACAATCCAAGATCTTGAGATTGTTTATAGCTTTTGAAAACTCAGTTCTCAAGGATTTTAATCCATTTAGAATTATTTAGAATCTCCAAACATTTTGCCAATGGTCTTGTTCTTCTTCATGGAGAACAACTCATAGTGTCTCTAAAGAGTGACAACTTGTTTGAGTCTAACACCCTCAATACCATTATGACTTACCCTAATGGCTTTCCACATCTCTTTGGTCACCAAGTAGTTGTAGAAGTTGTCGTACTCATTTTTGGATAAGAAGCATGCCAAAATGTACATGACTTTTGTGTTAAGTTGTAGAATGTTGCAGTCCTCTTGAGTGTATTGACTCTCAAGCTTAGTAACAACCACATCTCCTTGTGTGATGATCTTCCAGAGATGGTATTAGGTGGAATTAATGAACATCTTCATTTTATCCTTCCAATATGGGTAATCTTCTCCATTAAAGGTTGGTTTCCTTGTAAGAGAAGCTCTTTCTGGTAGGTACTTTTCTTCACTACTTCCCATAATGGATTTTTTTTCTTTAGTATGGTTAAATGCTCAACTCCATCAAAGGCTGAGCTATGATGCCAAACTGTGGAGAAAAGACAAGCACTAGAATTAGAGGTTGAATATTGTCTATCAAAAACTCACTTTTTCAAGTAGTGAAGTAATAACCCTAATAGTAAAGAGTGTTAGAGAAGAGACAAACGAAACACATGATATTTTTTTGTTCACCGAGACTAGATGCAGTTCTTAATCCAACGAGATTGAGTTTCACTATCTTAAATAAGATACAAGTATTCTTTCAATAAGACACTTTTGACTCAAACCTAAGTGTTCTTTGAATTCTATCTTCAAGCAATCTACCCAAATATTATTTTCACATAAAGTTTTTCTAAGCTTTAACACCAAGTAATTTTTTACTATCAAGTCTCTCCAGGTTCAAAACAAGTATTTTTTTATAGACAAACCTTTCTAAGTTCAAACAAGTATTCTTTTGCAAACAAGCCTTTTTAGGCTCAAACAAATATTCTTTTGCAAGCAAGCCTCCCTAGGCTCAAATAAGTATTCTTTTGCAGATAAGTCTCTCTAGGCTCAAACAAGTATTCTTTTGCAAGAAAGTCTCTATAAACTCAAACAAGTATTATTTTATAGGTAGGTATCTTTAGGCTCAAACAAGTATTCTTTTGCAAACATGTTTTTCTAGACTCAACTCTATGACAACAATCATATCTGGGTAAATTTTTATAAATGTTCTTTCATCTTACAAACAAGACATGATACAACCAATTAAAAACAAGTCTTTACAAAAAGAATGATTGAATAATAATATATTCAAAAGTTATTTTTCTTTCTAATTGTAAAGTTTCTTATATAGTAGTCCAAATAAACGTTGATCATTGCAAAACCTTAAGGGTTTTTAACAAGCTTGTTGTGTCTGTCTTCGTCACAAGTTCCTTGAGGTGAGAACTATATGTTAATGCATTAAATTTTTGCATCAATTACATTTCACCAAATTGTCCCTTCTTATCTGATCAAGGAAGCTACTTATCAACTTTAGAATACCAAATAGATTGTTTATGGTGTGTGTCAATGAGAGCAGGTTTTGCATCAACTTTTGCTAACTATTTTCATGATTTTTTGGGATTTTCTTGTTCTTGTTTTTCATGCAAAGCATGACTTCATTTACTTTAACATATTTGTTAGTTCCAACAATCTTTCTTAGTTTGATCTGGTAAGGAATTAATTAGTCATGCAATAAGTAACCGATATTCATTATAAATGATATGCATTTAAGAATTAATGAAGTAACACTGTATGTTTTTTCTAATGACACATTTTTGCCTAAAATTTTGCATCTTATGCTTCATCTAATGTGTATTTTGTAAAAGATATTTTTTCTTGTAAAAACGTTTTATTTGCTATCATTAAAACTTGAAAGCTTGAGGGATCCAAGTTCGTCTTTTGACTTAATAACTTTATTTACCTTGATAACCACCAAAATATCCATTCATTTTATTAAGATTGTATATTTAATATTACTTTTTATTTTTATGTCAAGTTTCAAGAAAATGTAGCGTATAAAATATATTTTAAATAGAATTAAAAAAATTAAATGATGTAAATTATTTATCTCAACTAACACTACAAGAAAAACGTAAATTTCTGATGGAATCTGTCAGAAAATACAAATTTTCTGACGGAAAAATCTGTTAGAAATTACCGACGGATTTTTATCCGTCGAAAATATTCGACGGTCAAAAATCCGTCAAAAATTTCTGACGAATTTTTTTGTTGGAAAATTTATGTTTTCGATGAAAAAATAGTTTGTAGGAAAAGTTATATTATTGATGGAATATTTCCGACAAATTTATATTTTTTGAAAATGTAAGAATTTATTTACAAAAATTGACAATCATATATTAAAAAAAATCAATAAAATTTTAAATATATATTTATATATATATATATATGAGGAGGGTTATAATAACACTGGTATAATTTTTGCTAAGTATATTACACTGGTATAATTTTGTAAATCCAACCGTTAAAATGAAAATTTTTTACTCTTAAATCATATATACAAAATGTTATATTAATCGAAGATGATTTCTTATAAAAGAAAATTAAATCCGTTGGAATAAGTTA